AAACTCATCAAATCAAACAGTGCACATCACGCTACTACCTACATCACAACACACTGGACAACTAAAGTCGTCCTTGGTTGACTCCTGTGTGAGGTGAGGCACTGGTGACCCTCTAGATGATACCGTGCTCACAGGGGAAGCATCATCCTGTCATAGACTGCACTACCAAGAACAGAGGTATCCTATCCTACCTCGACATGAGCAACAACCCGCTTGATTGGCTCCTCATCAACGAGCCTAGTGTATAAGTCAACAGCTGCAGGGGACGATACATGATCATCGTTCTCATCGTCACTAGCAGCCTCGACCTCAGCAGCATGCTTGATCAACTTTCGAGTAGCATCTCTTTCACGATCGATTGTATTCGGGGTAATAACCGCAGAGCGTACTCTTTTGCCGCAAACGACTGGCGATAAGTCATGCCCTACCATAAGAATCTCGGCAGACGCTTGAGAAGCTACAAGCGGTGAGCGGGTTGCAGACGCAGATGCCGCACTCATAGCTAAACAAAAAGCTCTAATAAGGACAGTCGACAGATGTCTCCCGCGCTCTAATGCGCCGATGTCTGAGTAAATCTCGCTCGCCCGAAATTAACCCGTTTCACTTTCACATCTTTGACACGCGCTGTGAATAGAAAATGAAAAGGAACATGAATTGGAATTGCTAAGAGTTACAAAGGCGTCGCACAAGTCGACGTGTGGGCTTCCATTAGAGCTATAAAGTGCAATTTGACATCTCTAAGTTAATCAAGCATCCAGCTTAGTGAAGGGTCGTCGACACCAGCTCACGACAGCTTCTGGTGGACCGCCATGATACAAGGCCAACGCTGTCTCGAACGCAATGAGGATAATGATGATCTTCTCTAAACGATTGGAATGCCTAGAATAGGGATGCCACCCTCATCAAAGGGAAATAAACCAAACCTGTGTCGGACATGCTCTCCAAAAGCAGCCATAAAATCTGAGTGGTATGATAGTCTGAGGTTCAAAAGCCCGATACGCCTTTTGAGGTCGAAGTTGTTCACGACTTGCTCGAACAGCCTTTCGGACCTGCATATCGCGTACGTGGTACAGCCCGAACCTCCACTACCCGTCAAACTCCCAGAGTATCTCAGGGACATCAAGTAGATCAGCCTCTCCTAGATTAAGCTGATATCTACAAGTGGATAACACTTCCTCCTGCTGCTGCGGCTGCCACGTGCGACAGATTCACTACCTTAAGGTATGCAAGACTCTCTCCGACTTGAATATCTCATCTGATATCGAGTTGAGATGCCAGCTACGCAGATTAGCTGCTAAGGCATTCATCTCGGAATGCTTCGCCTACCACGAAATATGGTCCATAGGACAATTGCTCACTATCCCTCACTTTAAGGAAGCGTTCGATCTTGGCCTCGACTAGATTCAGCCTACTAGCGGACGCCAAGGCAAGTGAGGCGACTAAGAGCTCGCTAGACCGTTGAGTGTCTTGTGGAGTAACGTATAGTACCTAAATCCCGTACATGACAACTTGTAAACGCCAAGCATTCCTACTCCATCCACCACTTTACTCTCGATCTTTACCGGTAGATGCCGACGAGTTTTCTTAAGACTCAACT